AATGTAGCATTGTAACAGCACAATAATTTCTCTTCAGTTTTCAAACTACTGCCAGAGATCTCAGGTTTCTGTACATAAAATAAGAGCTGTTTCACTACAGCTTCTTTGATGACTGAGATGAATCAGCTGCTGTTTCCCTTCTTGCCCTCCTGTACACTTGAGGGTGCAGCTTCACCAAGTGGTTTGGTTGAGAGTAAGTGGAGCTTATTTTAAGCACAGCAAGACAGCACTGCATACCACCTTCTCAGCACTGGCTTCTGCTGGGCTAGAGACTCATACGTAAGAGATAGGAGAGTATTTCCACACATTTTTACCAGGTATTTTATTGTCTACAACCTGCATGAGTTTACAGTCAACTCCCTCATAACACAGCTCAGTGCTGGGGACAGGAGAACTATGGGAATGGTACTATACAGCAGTATAGGCATTTTTCAAATGTTATTTTAATTGAAATACTAAAATATGGACTATCCTCGAATCCACTGAATGGCTTACAAAGATTTTAAAAAATGCATATTTCCATGAGCTACCCTCAGAATTCCCATTTCATCCAAGAGCATAAGGCTGGCATGCAGCCATTAAAAAAACTACAAGAACACCCTGACATACACAGTCATAAGGAGAGGAATTAGAAGCCTTTCTTTGATAGTCTTCCCTTCTCCACTATAAAGTCTTCTGAAACCAAGAAAATTTGTCAAGTTTGCATTGAAACAACAATACCAAATGCCTCCACTTTCTTTGCATTTTTGGAAGAAAGATTTTCTATTTCCAAAGGGGTGCATAAGTAACACACCAGAAAATTCTAGTGTTATAAAAAGGCTGTATAGAAAGAGTTAGGAGCATAAACAGTGTCCAGTGCAGTATTTTCCTTTGTTTCAAATGGACCATGAGCAAGTTTTCTAATTAAATCAGTATTATTCATAATTAGCAGTTAGAAGCTGTAGCTAATGAAAATTTTAGTACATTTCTTTATCTCCGAAAGCCTGAATCTACTTTGCTACTGAAATTTTTATAAACAAGTATATATTGCTACACATAATATGTTTTTAATTAATTAGGTTTTGTGCACCAAAGGCTTATGGAATCACAAAAAGATAGAACTCTGAAAGCAATTTCAGGAAAACCAGCAACAGAAACTGTATGAGAAATTAATTTTTAAAAGTGGTGTCTGCTAGTGAGTAAATCAGTGTATCACTGTCTCCACTGCTTCTTAAGTTAATAGCTGAACAAAACCTTCCTCCTAGGCTGAATTCTGGCATTAGGTCATAATTAAGAGGGAAATGGGAAAACAGGATATGGGGGAAAAAAAAGAAAAACAAAAACCCAGCTTCTCCACTGAGACACAGCACCCAACATTACAAACAAAGCTTCCATCCCCCTGCTCCTTGCTCTCTGGATTACTCTTGTGTTTGTAAGAGTCTTGGAATTATAGAATTGTTTGGGTTGGAGAAGACCTTTAAGATCATTGAGTCCAACCATTAACCTAACACTGCCAGCCCAACACTAAATGTCCCCGAGCACCTCATCTACATGGCTCTTAAACACGTTCAGGGATGGCGACTCCACCACTTCCCTGGGAAGCCTGGCCCAGGACTGAATAACTCTTTCAGTTAATAAGTTTTTCCTAATATCTGACATAAATCTCCCTTGGTGCAACGAGGCCATTTCCTCTTGTCCTATCACTTCCTACTCAGGAGAAGAGACCGGCACCTACTTCGCTACAACCTCCTCTCAGGTAGTTGTAGAGAGTGATATGGTGTCCCCCCAACCTCCTTTTCCCCAGGCTAAACAAGCCCAGGTCCCTCAGGTGCTCCTCATAACAACTGTGCTCTAGGCCCTTCACTGCTCGTCTTTGGACACAGTCCAGAACCTCTGTGTACTTCTTATAGTAAGGGGCTCAAAACTGAACATAATATTTGAGATGCAGGCTCATTAGTGCTGAGTACATGGGCACAGTTACAATTTATGATACAGGCCAGGATGCTGGTGGCTTTCATGGCCACCTGGGCACACTGTTGGCTCATATTCAGCCAGCTGTCAACCAACACCCCCAGGTCCTTTTCTGCCAAGCAGCTTTCCAACGACTCATCCCCAAGCCTGTAGCAGTGCATGCAGTTCTTGGGACCCAAACGCAGGACGCAGCACTTTACCTTGTTGAACCTCATGCAACTGGCCTCAGGCCATCATTCCAACCCATCCAGGTCCCTCTGAAGAGCCTCCCTACCCTCAAGCATATCTATGCTCCTGTCAGCTTCACATCCTCTGCAAATTTACAGCACGTGCCCTCGATCCCCTCATCCGGATCATTGATAAAGATATCAAACAGAACAGGACAAAAATTTTAAACAGACCCAAAACTGAGCCCTGAGGAACACCACTTGTGACTGACCACCAACTGGATTTAACTCCATTCACCACCCCTCTTTGAGTTTTTCACCCAGCAAAGAGCACACCCATCCAAGCCATAAGCAGCCAGTTTCTCCAGGAGGATGCTGTAGGAAACTGTCAAAGGCTTTCCTAACATCCAGGCAGACAACATCCACAGCCTCTCCTTCAACTAAGTAGGTCACCCTGTCATGGAAGGAGATCAGGGTAGCCAAGCAGGACCTGCCCTTCATAAACCCATGCTGACTGGGCCTGAGCCACCCTTGGTCGTCCCGAATGAGTCTCATGATGGCACTCAGTATCATCTGCTCTATAACCTTCCCTGGCGGCAAGTCAGGATGACAAGATATGAGCTTTAAAAGGCCTTGGGGGTTTTACACTGTTTTTAACTCCAGCTCAGTCTTCAGTCCCTTTGCAACTGTTCCCCTCCAATGAGCCAAAATAACCCAGGGTTGAAGCTGTCTGTTCCTCTTTAAATTCCCGACTTCTGCCTTGGAACACAAGTCTAGCTCTCCCACCCTCACAGATGACTTCTGCCTTCTTCCTGCACTCCCACCCACAGATTAGGATTTACAGCTTCCTGCAAATACTGTTCAGAAGAAGCTCCCTATTCACACTGTTCATTCACATCCTTTCTCCATCCACAGGTAGCGGCAGGACCCAACTATGACAAGTAAGATCTCCACAGTGCTGCTAGACTTGGCCACTAGGCTACAATAGCAGCATGAACAGCAGCACCGTGTAACAACACCCTGGGCCACGAACTACTATCAGGTCTTTAGGCTTGTATCTGAACTTCGACATGGAACTCAAGCACATTTCCAGGCCAGTCTCACTGCTTCTCCTCTGTGTCTTTCTCTCCCTTTTTCAATAATGCAACATTGCACAGCTGTGTCTGAGTTCCACCTCAGTCTGATTAAGATCTCAGTAGTCACTTAAGGTCTTGACTATATCAGTATCAGGATGCATCAAACATGATAAAAACAGGAAGGCAGAAAAGAGTGACCAAAGGCTTTCTGTAAGACAGGGAAGTAAGGATCACATCAAATATTTCCTTTCTAAGCCAGTTTTTTGGTTGTTAACACAAGTATCACACACCTCTCAAATGTGGTATACACACACTGAACACCAACCCTCTCTTTTTCCACACTGTACTGAAAATTTGCAACAAATTAAGTTAAATTAAGAGGTGAGAATAAAGATGGCATATTTAAGTCAAGAAGCTTGATATTGCATAATGTAACTAGAAACATCAGCATCTGAGCAGATACAATTCTTAGTGTGTCCTCCCATGGCTCTGAGATAGGGATTGTAAGTATTACTTAACCACTCTTGGGTTTCCTAGATATTACCTTCCTTACCATGCACTCTTGGCCAACACAGAAAAATACCCAAATGTCTAATTACAGAATTGTCATTGTCATTTGTTAAAATTTCTCACTGAGCAGCATTTGTGTTGATTTTACCTATCCATATTCAAGTATCAGTAAGGTGCTCTCCCTTCCTCAATACCCTTTTACAGGGAACAGGAGACAATTCTGAATGTTGTCATCAATGGTGCTGCTCTTGAGGAGTCTAAAAGTTCATTTCACGCCTTTTGCCCACTGAATGGGCTTGAATTCAGCAACCACTAACCACAGCCACTTCAGCAGGGGGAAAAAAGCTTTTTCTTCACTAAAAAAACCTACATGTTTGTATAATAAACAGTAATTCTTACATTTGTCTTTAAAGCAGATGCTACTCTGTCTACAAGGCTTTTCTCTTTTAGAAAGATCCTCTTAGATTCTGTTATCTCTATTCCGAACATTTAAGCCTAAAATACCTGCCACATTTTGATTTCTTCTTCTTTAAAGGCTTCTTAAACATCCTAATCTATACATGCTACTCAAAATACACAAATTACATGAAAACTGCCTGGGAAAAAAACATTATTTTTTAATGTGCTATGGAAGAATAAATTCATTATTTCAGAAAGCTTTATGAATTCTTATAAAAATTTTCTGGGATTTTTGTTGTTTGTTTTGGCATTTTTTATTTGCCTTTGTTTTTGAAGTCTTTCTGGTTCATAAAGCCTAATTCTGATCTCACTTGACTTAGCTTATATTGAGAAACTGCACCTTAACACAAGAGAAGCTCCTCTGCTAGACCTTTCAAAGCATATAAGCAACATGTTGTCAGTGCTACACATACAGGCACACTGAATTACTAGAACCTTTCCGACACTGATTAACGTTCAAATGAATTTTTAAGAAGTATCCATACTATGAATCTTGGCTTTTTCCTAGAATTTGTAGAAAACACTGCTGTCATGGAGACTTTTTTTGAGCCAGGAATACACATTAAATGATTCAAACAAAGGGGGAAAATAAACCCAAGGAGCTGTGATGCGGCAACATCTCAGTGGTACAGCATTCCTCTATTTGTCCATGGTGCTGACTTTTTGTAGGGTTTTTTGGTTTGGTTTGTTGGGGTTTCTTTGAGGTTTATTTGGGATGTTTAAGATAAAGTTTAGTTAGACCTAACCCTTTTCTTCCTCCCCATAAACAGGCACAGTATTCCCACTATGTAATAAAGAAATCCACCTCCCCAACATATAGATCTCATAGAAAGCTTACCTAAAGAATGTGCAGCTGTGGTTTTGGAGCTGAAAAATCGACCGAGTCCAAGGTCCCCAAGCTTTACTACCCCTGTAGCTGTAATGAACACATTAGCTGGCTTTATATCTGGGGGGAAAAAAAAAAAGCAAACAAAAAATAATTAAAGTCACAATGAGTTTTCACAAAAAGCTACTGCTTTATTAATATTAGACTGAAAGAGGCTTTTATTTACAGCTAATATTAACAAAATTTGGCTATGCCGTTCAGTAAGACAAAGTCTGGGATTTGCAGTTTCGAATTAACTATTTTAATTGTACAAACAATGCTCAAGAAAAATAACTTAAAAGCTATGGGAATTATTTTTTTAAAATTAAGCAAACAACAACGGAAACAAAATCAAAGAAGCCCACACTCAAAGAAGCATATACAGGGAGTCCATTACTAATTTACATTAGCTATATGTAAGGACTTCCATTAGAACAAAAAAATTCGCTCATTATATCTTAAGTAACAGCCAAAAAAATGTTTTCAAGAACCGTAAAACATTTTTCATCACTTTTGCTGATCAGATTAGCCACAGTGGCATGATGTTATTTATTTCAGATAGGTAACTGATTCTCTTTAATAGCAGGCACTAGAAAAAAGCAGCAAGTTTTTACTCAGGAGAATGGTTATTTGAACTCGTCAATGGAATTAGGCTAATCGGGTAGAAACAAAGAAAAATAATGATGTATACCCCAGACGGTTATTTTTCAGAAGTAATATTCAGTTTAAGTTTTAACCTAATCCTTTAGAGACAACAGCAAAGGTTTTTATATTATGATTTTTAACAAGGTACCTATCCTATTAGTCTTTTAAATAAACCGATCTGATATTTGCTTGGCAAGTGTGCTTAGCTCTTACTCAACTCAAGAGCAAAGCACTGGGTCTCTAAACTTACAGAAAACCACTTAATTTTGAGCACATTACAATTTGCAAAAGATATGGGTACGGCAAAAAGAATGGTTAATAACCCTTCAAACACCAGCATTTTCAGGATTACAATAAAATGCTACAGAACTTCATAATCTTTAGAGAGGAAGAGAAAAGCTATTATGTTATACTGCTATCTCTCCTAGTCTGGATCATCCTTGGTGTAACAATCCAACACAGATATCAATTCAACATAAAAACAGCTTTAACTGTTATTGGTTTTGGTGTATAACCACGAAATTGTTACATTTGCCATAGGTTTACCAGAAGCTTTGAAGGTAGTGTTTCAATTTAAGGAGTTCAAATTAATTTTTGTCTTGAGCTAAAATATATTGAAATAAACTAGTTTCGTCATAGAAGTATTAAAGGAAGAATCTGTAACTTTATGTTGACTTTGTAGAATTTGCATTTGCAGATATTTGTACAAATGTGCAAAGAAAAAAACCAAGACAGAATCAGAAGAGAAAGCCATTGGCAGAGGCAGGGGCATCTAAGTGGATCTGCTGGAGGGTGCAACATTTCTAGCTGCAAATGACAAAGACCAGCAGAGATTGAGGGACTTTCACTTTCAGGCAGCTATTTGCATCCCAGAAGAAAGAAGCCACCAACCTCAGACACGCAATTCCACCTGAACCAAGACAGACAGGCCATACCCAACTTGGAAATCCCTCTGGCTATGAGTTACAAGGCAAAAAAAGAAATAAATTGTACATCTGAGAAGCAGCTATGCTACAATCTGTTTTCTTGGACTCAGAGTTACAAGATAAAATGAAGACAACATCCAGAAGAGACAGCAGTACAGAGGTTTAAAATGGGTCAAAGAGATTTAGTACCTGACAGGGAGAGCTGGCAACTACAAGGGCTGCTGGGACACAGTACTTGACACAGAGATTGGAAACAGTGGAGAGGAGTACATAACCTGGTAGGTAAGGGAGTGGGAGAAGGGCCTATACATCACCAGAAGGCATGGCAGAAGGCAAATACTTTCAGATAAAAAGCACAAGGGGTGAAAAGAATGGATGGATAGCTGTGTGAGGATGCAGGTAACAATGCTTGGGAGAGACAGGGGTCGAACACAGAAAAATAAGAACAGAAAATGACAGCCAGCAACACGAATTGAGCAAGCGAGGAGGTAGCAGTGGCAGGGTCTTCATCACTTACAGAACTACCACTTATTTTGAAAACTTGGTATCATGAGGCATTGCTGCAAACAAATGCCTACCACAACAAATGCACAACCACAAACTTCTGTCACACTTTTCTGCGACTGGCAAAACATTACAGGAGCACAGGGTGTGTCAGCTGTCACACACCGACTCTGCTATGACGTCTTTTGGTATCATCTGCATGGAACCAGCTTAATTCTCACGTGGAAGGGGGTTCAGCAAAGACAAATCATCTTTGATCCTCTATTACCTCTATGCATAACACGACGAGAATGCATATGTTCCAAGGCACTGCAAAGCTGAACAAAGTACTTCCAAACTGTTCTTTCAGGAATCAACCTCTTCTGTTTCTTAAAATGCTTAAAGAAAGAAGGATGGACACTGAATATTAAAATGTAAAATTTACATTAAATCAACAAAAAGCAAAAAGATAGAAAATCCTTTATTTCAAAACCAAATACAAGAGGCTCACAATGCAATAAGAAAGGTTTAACAAAGTCTCTTGACACAGAAAGCTTTTCCCTTTAATACTGATGCATGTATCATCACATATAATTCAGTCAACACATAGAGCCACAAATGACATGAATGAAATAAAACTGCTGTCCCAAAAAAGGATCTATATGGTATTCAGCAACCCCCATTGCAGGATTAATGTGGTCAGAATAGTCTAGCATAAAGTGGCCACAAAACAAATAAAGTTCAGCTATAATTTATGTGCCACAGAACTTCACAAATTAAATAACTCTTTACACCAAAACTGGTTTCCATATCCTCATTTTCTAAACAGAAGGAAAAAAAACACTAGTAGTGACGTACAATTCCAAATATCATGTATGAAGAGCCTGAGTCTTAGAAATTTCTACAATACATAAAAGGGAACTGTGATTTCTGAAAATTCCATAGTGATCTAACTTGTGTTCAAATATTTTCCATCCTGTATAAACAACTATTACCAACCACTGGTAACAGCTCAATGGCCTTTTAAAGCTTACATGAAACATAATTACATTCTGCTACACACGTCTCTTTCAAATAATATATTCAGGGACTAGAATAAAATACATACTCCAATACATACTGAAAACCTGGAATTCAGCCACTGCTAAAATGTGCAAGCTTGATCATTACAAATTCTGCAGCTAAAGGTAAGATGACTGAAAAATCGTTGCTCATTTAATCTTTTTAAAAAAAGGAATTCATATTTTGACAGATTTTGAAGTTAAACACACAAAGAAAATATATGAACAACATGAATACTAGAAAAATTTTAGATGGAAAACAAAGTACTTAGCTGCATTTTAATAGGGTGCGTACACACACTTCATACCCCTGCACACCCTAAGGAAGTTCTATAACAAACATTTATCATTCCGGAAAAATAAAAATATTTTCATATCCTATATTAATGTGCCACTGAGAAGCTGACAGCGGCACCTACACATTTAAGACTTGCAGGAGTACAAGAGAGATGGTTTTAAACTAGCTATAGCAAAACATATCAGTCATACAAAGGATCATAACATTTCACCAAAATGTTTTTAGTTCATAGAGATTATTTCAAAATGCATTTTCATTTAAATGAGGCAAAGCATATAAATTACTTCTTTAAATATAATTTTCTCTCAGTTTTGGACGGAATCCAAACAAGCCCTGTGTATCTGTTCTCCCCATAGCTGGATTTGCATATCAGAGGATTGTTTGATGTCAACAGAAGATGGAGACCAGGTTTCTTTTCATTTAAAAACAAATACACAGTACATATAAGTATGTGCATATGAAAGTATACCACCTTGATTTAAATGCATTCTAAAATTATTGTAACCATAACTAGGTACTTTATTTCAACATTCTGAATTATTATTTTTTTAACTCAAATCTAAGCACAAGCAGTGATGAAACACCATTCACAACATGTCTGAAACAGGAATATTTTCCATTGCAGATTTCCATTACAAAGTATTTAAAGCACATCAGTATACTTTCAAAGTATCTATGCACAAGTAGTCTTTTAACATTCTGTTCACTCACATCTATGACACTGTGGCTGATTGCACCCTACAAATTAAGCTTCAGTGCAGCTTACAGTGCAAGCAGACAATAAACCAATTTTTAGGATGTAGTCTCATTCTACTGAAGGCATTAATAATTTAACATTATAATAACTTCTCTTCCTGAAAGCCTCAATAATATTATTAAACCAAGGAGAATTTATCCATCTAAAGAGGATGCAAAAGACAGCTGCTAGATTTGCCAACAATGCTTAAACTAGACAAAGAAATAGGCATAATTTTCACGAGTATAGGCTTAAATATAATCCAAGTATTTTTAAAATAAACTCTAGCGAAGATTGTTTTCTTCAGTAATTAATTACACTATTTTGTTCAATCAAACTACATATCCTTAAAGTTTTCTTGGGCTGTTGTCCACCAATAGCCAAAACAGTGATGAAAAGCCTCCACTACAAAAAAAAAAAAAAAAAAAAAAAAAAAAAAAAAAAAAAAAAATTGCTTTTTCAAAACTAGCTATTGAAGCAAGTTCTGTGTTTCTAGAAAACAGTCTGACAGCCAATCAGCCAATGGTAGTTCTGAGAAAAGTCAATAAGGAAAAGGAATCCCATTGCTGATTTAGAACCATGACTTCCAACAAGAAATACAGCTTGATAGAAAATATGGTCAAATCTATTTTATGCTGAACATTATCATTAAATTCATATAGCACAGGCTAACTGTTTTCAATGCAAGACCCTTGTCTCTCTCTCCTCCATTTAAAAATAGCCCACAGTACAAGATGCTGTTCAAATGGTTGTATGATTTGCCCTTCCAAAAGGGAAGCCAAAATGAAGACACGATGTCAAAATAACTTTTAACCTCTATTGTAGCAGAGCGTGGTAGCACCACAGTTAATACTGAAACTAATTCACTTCCTAGTGCTGTAATGCCTCACGCATCCTAAGACCCAGGTAATCATTACCTTAATACAGCTGTCTCCCATTGCATAAAAGTTGCTATTTTCTGCCTGAATTTGACCTCAAAAGAAAAGAGCCTGACATGTAGCCTCCTTGAGTACTCTCCATCTTCAGTGTCCTACTATTACGCTTCTTCCACCTGTCTGAGGCCCAATGGAACCTCCTGATATCCCTCAAACCACTGACAAATTACAAGGTTTGACATAAAAAAAAAAAAAAAAGGCATCCTGTTCAAGGTGAAAGATCAGTCTCAAGACAGTTGAAACTGTACAAAAAGGGAACTGTTTGTACATGTGCATTAAAAATTAGTGCAGCGTTGCATGATAATGTTTTCCCAGGTAAACAGAAAATACCAGGCATGCTCAGGCAGCAGAGTGTCTCCCAGAAATAACTGTTTCAAAAGCCAGATCCCATGAAATTTCCATCTCTATCTTTCAGAATGTAATCACACACAAAAAAACACTTTCAAGAGCTTTCACAATGTCAGTACAGATAAAACTGCAACTTGGAATTTTTGCAGTTATAAATTTGCTGTTCAAATGCCTTAACGAGATTTAAAGTAGGCAGGTTATATCACCAGTTGGCCTTTTTGTCCTTTTACACAGAATTACTCAGCAGTTTCTTTACGGGAAAACAGAACTCTTCTGGTTTGCGCTAAAAGAAAAATTAAATATATTCCAACTGTTCCCATCCTAGTAAAGTTAAATATAGCTGCCCTGAACATAAACTTCAGTTTCTTAGAGTCATAAAAAAAAAAAATATATTAAGAGACAGATGGGGAAAAAGTTCTAACTCAATATAAAAACATGGAATTATATTACAATGACTAGTCAAGATGATATTTTGAAGGTCAAATTCCAAAAGGAAAATGTGACAGCAATTAGTTTTATCGAGGCTTAACAAGCCAAGCCCAGAAAATACTCTTGAAGGAAATATGCAGGATTCTGTTTAGCTTTTATAAGAAAAAGAAGGATTTCCTTCAGATGAGTAAAGAACAGCAAGCACAGATGATTTCAATACAATTGGAGTACTCAGATATGACTGCCTACACCTCAGTAACCATGCTTGGAAAACATTTAGCATTCAGTGTTGACATCAGTGTCTCAGAGAATTTTAAGGTGTGATTTAACCTGGTTTAGAGCTCACAGAATAGGAAAAAGAATAAGAATTAAAAAAAAAAAGATTTAAAAGCCCCAATGAGGATTTAAGAAGCAAACTGGACTATAAAAAGCAAGAGGTTTATCTCTTGCAGAAAGGCGATAAACTGATCTAACCAATTTTGCAATCATTTAATTTAAAAATAAGTCTGTGAAACTGTCAAACAAGCCCATAAGAACATAGACCTGAATTTTTCCACTGTGCATACTCCAGGCAAGAGTTGCCTTGTGAAACAGAGGAACTGGGGGAAGAGTGAAATGAGAATGATCGTTTCTTTGCTTTAAAAAAAGATTCCTTTTCCTGTCTTTCATTTTTTTTTATAAGGATCATGATCACATCTGTCTTTTCTCGTCACTTTTGGCTTACAAAAATATAAGTTGTTTATTTGGTTTGGTTTTCATTAAAATATATATATTCTATTGCCTTGACTATCAGAACACAGTGATTCAACAACCTGATACTTGTAGGAAGAAATCTGAACATCAAGAGGAAAGTGATGCAGAAAGGATTAGCACAAGGAACTTCTAAATAAACATGTAATGAAGTTCTCGGGCACTTCTGCTTGTGTTTCTTTGGGAGCCTTTTTTTAATTTGGCCTAGCAGAAAGAACAGGGAGCAGAAAGAGGAGGTCAGGCAGCTGTAATAGGAAGCTATGGAAGCCCATGCAAGGCTTCTCACTCTGAGAATGTAACAGACACAATCCAGAATGGAGAAGGGTTTGCATGGTCAAAAAGACAGACAGTGAAGACGAACCTCAGCATCTCTACATTTCACAATAAAGATCTGAGACTCATATATATGGAAAGGAAGTTTCTACTCAAGTTTTGCTTTCTATTGAAAAGGCTATGCAATTTTAGTAGGAAAGCAGTGTCCCAGGAGTTTTGTCTAACTTTGCTCATCCATTAATTCACCTGCCTATCTGTTTAGAATGTGGTAAGTTTTCTGCCATTTTTCCTCTCTTTCTATGCAGAACAAAAATAGAACTTTCTAATACATCTTGGTTCATTCATCCAGTTTGATGGTGATCCAATTTGCCTACACTTCAAGAGTAGTAGCTCGCTCTTAATTGTAAAAATAGAACAAATACCAAAAAAAGCAAACTGTTTGGCAACCACCAACCGAATATACATAAAGTAGCAAGTACGTGGCCAATAAAGTGAATAATTTAATATTAATAATTTTTAAAAATATTTACCTGGTTCTTTTTCAAAATTTCTTTACAGTTGTTTACAT